GCCTAGTCCAAAATGTGAACAAAAAAAAAAAAAAAAAAAAAAAAAAAATGTAGTGGATATTTTCCTATGATCAAGGAACAGTTTTATATGTCATGGTTAACTTTGTGCATGGAAATCTTAAAAGGTCACCTTCTGTTAATAACATTAAGCTGAATTTGCATGCTTTTTCCTCATTCGTAATGATGGCAGAGCACAAACATGCACACACACACCCCCTGTTTGTCTCGGAGCAGCTTCTCATTCTCTTCTCTGTAGCTTTTCAGGTGCTCCGCCAGCTCCACCTGACTGTCGATTGCCTCCGCCAAGTCCTGTTGCAGGATGTCCTTATGAGCCTGACGGGTGAGAGGAAGACAAGACAAGATCATGAAGAGGAAGGGGGGGAGGAGGATGATCCTTTCTCTGTCTGACACCACTCAGTGAGAGGTTTCTGACCTCCTCTTGCAGCTGCGGGGTCTGAGAAGAAGAAACGCTTCGGAGGGAACGCTGTTTGTGGAACTCATTTTCCATCTGAATGCTCTGCAGGTCCGTCTGCAGCTGATACACCTGCCATCAAAGACAACACAAATGTAATTGATAATGAACTGTTGCCTCCTAATAAAAACAAAACAGGTGTGTTTTATATGCCATGCTGAAGTCTGTTTTTGTAGCTTGACATAAGTCTCAAAAAGTTTCTTTGTAAATTCCCATCTCTTAAGAAAGAGCTGATATTCAGGTGTTTGATCCAACAGTACATGAATGCCAATTATTTTTGCTCCGTTTTTTTTTTTTTTTTTTAAACACGGTCCTCTGTACAACCTTCCCCTAAGTCCTACTGTGATGTTGCAGAAAGATGTTTAACTTTCTACTCATAAACTCAGTCATTTTATATGTATAGAGCAGTTTTTATATAAAACAAGGCTAACACAAAAAACCCTAATCAAAAAACCCTAATTACTAGAGATCTAAAAAAAAGAGAGATCTAAATAAAAGGGTAAGAATGGAAAAGAAAAAAAAAGTACACAAATGTGTAGTCAACAGTCATAATGTTGGTTAAAAGGACTGTGGATGTGCATTTGGGTTGATGGTGATAATCAGAAGACACTTGAGTCTTCATTTCCTGGTAAGAGGGTTAAAAACAGGTCAGAAGTAAAAGAAGATAAGAAGAAGACAGAAATAAAGACAAAAACAGAGACAAGGACAAAGAAGGAGCACTGAGCTGGTAGAAAAATATTGTAAATATAAAAATACAAAAAAATTTATCTTAATGCCTAAAAGAGCTAAAAGCCAAAGATGAACGGACAACCGCATTGTCATTAACTTTTTGTTAAGTTTGATGTACTGCTACAACTTATTTACTTGTGACCCACAGTGTGTGTGTATGTTTTTTTTTTTGTTTTTTTTTTCAAATGTATGATTAGAAAAAGTCAAAGAAATACATAAAATTTGCTTGGAACTTATACAAAGTTTGTTGGTAGCACCACATATTTCTTAAATTTAGAAATGATTTAGAATAAGACATGATGTGCTATTGTGCAAACAAACAAACAAACAAATAAACAAACAAACAAAAAACATGCTGTGGTCCTCATTAAGAGATTACGACATCCTTTGGTCAAAATCCCTCAAAAAATGTGAAGCTGCTCCTTTTTCAACACCTCTTATCATAATGACTGAGTGTGAGCTGAGTCACCACAGCTCCTTCTACCCACCTGTCCTATCTGCAGGTCACTGCAGCTGTTCCATCTCTGAAGCACATCTGCATAACGAGCCCTGCCTGTTTCAATAACCTCATTGCAGACACATAATGTAGAATCCTTCAGGTTGAATAAGTACCGGTTACATAAACTTTGGGTTTAGTTGCTGGTTTTCTGTTGAAGCTGAGATAAAGAGCTTCGGCTTTTACCTAGAAACATTTCTTTCTAGGCAAAAAAATAATAATAATAATGTTTCCAGAAACATTTTTTTACTTCTATTAATAGTAGTAATAGTAGCAGCGCCTGCTCATAGTGCCGTGACAAACTGCACATTGTGGTTTCCTGGTACAGAAAAAAAATGCATCAAAGACGCTCCGGTAGTCATATTTCCTGATTAGGATATGAAAAAAAAGAGAAGGTAAACTACTCATAGAGCATAATTAGCTCATTTCCTTTTAAAGTAAACCATTTAACAGCTAAAGAGAAATTACTAAGTGTAATATATAAAAAAAAAAAATTAGGAAAAAAATATATTTCCCACAAATCATTTTACTTTTGATGTAAGAAAATCCAGAAAGTTTTGATAGTGGAGATACAACAACAACAACAACAATAATAATAATAATAATAATAATAATAATAATAGAAAAAGGTTTCAAACATGATACAAAGTATTTTTTTATTGTCTTCCAAGAATAACAAAGTGAACAAATAACACATTTTCACATTACGTGACTAATCTTTAAACAGTACTTTAGGCTCATGTACAACAATTAAAATTTAAGCTTAGTAGCTAATTTTCTTTTTGTTCTGTTTAGCAATAAACATACTTTAAAAAAAAAAAAGGATTCAACAAAGCTGTTCAACAATGCTGCATGAAACATGCTGTATTTGTTTCCTTCTGCCAGAACATTGTTCTTAACATAAAATATTGTCATTTCAGATTGTTAGGAGTTTGGTAAAAGGCTGAATGAGTCTCCATCATGAATCTGACCTTCACGGTTTAAACCATTGTACTTTATGTGCTTCATTAAAACGGTCATTTGTAAACCAGAGAAAACAAATTCTCGTGATGTTTTCTTTGGGGAAAGATATTAACTCTAACAGACAGCACGCCAGCATTTTACCATGTAACGCAGGCAATTGTTGTTTAAGATTTAATCACATTTTCCAAGGAGTTTTTCAAAAGATGTCCTTCCTCATTATTGAGAAAACCTCAGAAGTACAACCAGTTTTTAGACACTCCCCTTTATATCCATCTTCACCGTCTTCTAGGAAGAAACACGTTTAACTAGATAGGAACTGAGGTGAAATTCAAAATGATCTAATTCATTACTTCTTCTGAGTCTTCTTTTTGTACTTTTAGTCTATTTTTTTATGATATTAACATTAATCATGCTTTCCCTGGAATAGCAATAAGAGACATTGAGACTCTTAGAAGGAACAAGGAATGACAACCTAAAATAAATATTGGAGACTGCTTCTATTTTTTAGGAGAAAAAAATTATATTAAAACACAAAGAGAGATTTTAAGGCATCAACTCACCTGCAGGTTCAGGTCGTGCAGCCGCCCATTTATAGCCGATTTCTCCTCAATGCTTGCGGTGTAGCGGATGTACAAGTCGCACTTCTCGTCCTTCAGCTTGGTGACTTCCCGCTGCAGAGAACCCAGGTGTCTCTGCAAGCGCTCGTTTTCAGTCTGAAGGTGGCTGCACTTCTCTTCATGCTCCATCAGCTGGCTGACCTCCGACTCCAGGGAGGAGCAGCGGGCGCTCATCTTGCCGGCCTCGTTGCGGGCCTCCTGCAACTCCGTCTGCATCCCTGTTACCGCTCTGATGAGGTACTCGGTCAGCTCTGAGTACTTGATCAGGCCTGAGAGGAGGAAAATGCAAGGTGAGCTGTAGGGGACAAAGACACCCTTTGGAAGAGTAGGAGATGTTTTAGGACACTTACCGCTGAATCTCGAGGGCTCTGTGCTGGGCTTACGTCCCGTAACTTGGGTGTAGAGAACTGGGTAATGAATCATCAGCCCCTCTAGCAGAGCTATGGCTCCGTTTCTCCCCTGGGTCCTCAGCAGATCCAACATGTAGCCTAAGAGGTGGCACAATTAATCTCAGATTCAGCTTCGTGCGAAAAGTGAAACGTTTTATTTGGAAAGAAAGCAAAAACCCAGTTTTTCAATCCACCAGAATTCAGTTTTACATATGTTCATTGCTGTTAACCTTGTTCAATTCTTAAATTAAAAAATATTGACATGTCTGGACAGGCATTCAAGCAACTTCTGAAAGTAAAATTTTGTTCATTTACAAAGTCAGAAACCTTTGACATTACCAGTAAAAGAGCTAAATATTGATTAAAGTGTTAGAAAACCTAAAGGAAGAGGGATGTTCAACCATGAGTTGAAGTACAAGTTTATCTCTGAATGTAAAACAATGGATGGGTTTGGAGGGCTTGTCAAACTACACACTTAAATTTAATTCAGACGCTGTGGTATCACTTTACATATTCATGGTTAAAAAATCTCCAGGGTTGCTCAATATAAACAGTTCTGCAACAAAGACTGGGCCAAAATTCCCCCACAGTTATGTGAAGCATTATCAGTTATCCTGCATGCTTGGTGGCAGCAGCTGCTGCTGTTACCTAAGGTGGCACAGTTAGTTATTAGATTTGGATGACAATTACTTTTTACACAGGGTCAGGTTGGTCTGAACAGCTTCTCCCTTTGATGAATTAAAAGACCATTTGTAACTGGCTCTGTGCATTTCCTCAGGTCAGCTTTATCTGATAAACTTTGTTAGACATATTTAGAGGGGAAAAACTGTAAACAATGGGCATACCTTTGATTGGCGGACTTAAAAACACAAAAAGAGGACAAATCAGAACCCATAACGTTACAATAAGAAGCTGCAGAAACCTCTGGAAATTCTTATCAGCTTGAGCAGATCTAACTTTCTTCAAACAGTCAAACCTAAAACAAAAAGTCTAGTCAGGAAGCTTACTTGTTCTCATGCAGCGATTAGTCAGGTTGTGACGGGAAAGGATCTCGTCTTCGTCCACCTCTGTGAGAACCTTGACCTGCCTCAGATAGGGGAACAAGATGCATGGTCGGACCCCGAGGGAGATCCGGTGACGGTTGTCATTGATCAGCTCCCAGAGTTCCTCCTCGCTCAGCTCCTTCAGGTTGGGGCCCTCTGGAACAGACTCCTCCGCCATCCTTAGTGCGCTGGATCACTGATGCGTACACACAGCTGAAGCCGGTGAGGCGACAGCGAACACACACACACACACACAGACACACACACTTCTACAGCAGACCAACAGACTGAGTGAAGGAACAGGGTAAAGTATCATTAAAAAAAAAAAAAAGGCAGGGTAGTTTCCACGCCCTGCTGTTTATTTCAAGCATGCGTCTGTGGGCGTGAAGGAAAACCTGTGTGACAACCTTGGTTGTGCAGCTCAGCTAGAGGCTGGGACAGTCATCTGATCATAAAAAAAACAGACCCAGGTTTTCACACATACTCGTCATATTTTAACCGCACTCTTAGAAACAATGAGCTAAACAAAGCGTTACTTTAAGCACCTCACTCTTGGATGCTGTTTATTTTTAAAGACACTTTCAGTGTCTTGTCTAACAATAATAAACTTCTGCTCTGCCACGGTGAGTGAGTTTTGAGATGAGTTTTTCAGATGATTTTGGGGGAGGGGGGCTCAGAGGGATTAAAACACGCACATTAGAGTTCAGCTTAATAATTCCTAATCACAGCAAGGTAAACATTCTGCGCCACAGACGGGAGCAAACACAGAGAGCAGCGGAGCAAAGTCCTCTTCCACAGAAGGAAATAATATTACCAGGACAAAGTGTTTTTCTAAGCCAAACATACGTGGGCTTAGTGTATCATATATATATATATATATATATATATATATATATATATATATATATATATATATATATATGTGTGTGTGTTTGTGTGTGTGTGTAAGTACTTTGAAGGATGTCTTTTATCAGTTGGCTCATAAAAAGTAAGGAAGTGTAATGAAAGCTTTTGGAAAAAGCCTTGGAAAGCGTTCATATAGGTCGGATCTACAACTTATGCACTGACAAAGACAACTGTTATCTCAAAGAGAGAACTGGTTTTTAGGTTATAAAAGCAAAATGATGCGACAACACACCGCCCACAAAAAAGCTCACGGAAGACTCAAAGTTCTTAAACCAAGGCTGATTAACT